GGAGCTTTTTCCGTGGAAGATTCCTTTAGGACCGGGGCGTTTTCGTGAGGTTTCGGTGGTTTCAGGAATGGCTAACCCTTCCGGGCGAAGGCGGTTTTGTGGCAAATAGCGACTCATCCCAGTCCAGTGGCCTGAGATCAAATTCCCCATATGTAGATCTTCTCATGGGCCAATAACGTGTTCATCCAGTCGCAGTTGGTTACCTGCTAAAAAAACTGGGGGATAAAAAAGAGACCAGTTAAGGGGGATATGGACACGAATTTTCAACATAAGCACACCCGTAAATCACTGTATAGGGCAAGTTGCATTCAAACCCTCCACGATACTGAATGGAAGAAGAATGCATGGCGCATACCAGAAATGGATTGGTCATTGCGAAAATTTTAATCATCAATCTTTCGACTATTCTCTGCTGACATATTATGATCCCGTCGTTTGTTCTGCCAGCTGAACCTGTTTTGTTAGCTGAAACCCTTTTTGTGTGTTAGCGATGCTAGTCGTTTCAGTGGTGAACTTTGAGTTTCTTTTCAATAATCGCCGGTGGAAATGTGCGTGTCATTTGTGGCGCGGACAAAGCCGGTTATTGCAACTGGTAACACATTGTCAACAGCATTTCACATAAATCGCCATCGATTCAATCGGGGGAGACCCTCCATAAATGAAAAACAGTGAAAATTATCATTCGTTCAAAGAATGTGTGGGAATAGGGGCCCTCGAAGGGACTATCAACACGATGACTAAAAGTGGAATCGAATCGGGGATTCAATCGGAACTTTGAACCACCTTGCTTACTGAAATTCCTAGAGTTGCATTTAAAATCAAGAAGCAAATTGAAAAACTGTGGCGTCTTAGAAATTTTCTTGAAAATTCCGCTTTAAAATACTTTGTCTTGGTAATAATTATTGCGGAATTAAATCGTGCACCTTTTGTTTTTGTTGAAGGTAAAATACAAAACAACAAAACAAATAATAAAATAAAACATAAAACACAGAATAAAATGAAAAGTAATCCTAATTTTGACTTGCCTTTTGTTTTTTGTTTCTGTATTTTGTTTTATAATAAAATTTAAATAAAAAGGAATCTTGCCCCACTATAATGAAAAATACGAAAAATACGTCAATAATTGACCTCATGGTCAGATGGTACAGGTGGGTCGGTAATGATATTAGCTCAAGCGTATTTCACCTGACCCACATTCAGCGGTAACCTCTTCAACTTGACCGGCGCATTCAAAAATTGCGAACACTGAGTTCCCATTCAGCTCAGTGTGAAATCAACTACTGCTCCGAAACGTGGATGTCGTCTTGTAAATGCGCAAGAACCACTCTGGACACGCTTGCGGGCACACATGGAACCAGGGTGGACGCGCCACGTTTCGCACGTTTTCAGAATTTCGACCCCTCGTCCTTTAGAAGGACTTCGATGCGACCCCACCACACGTCAGCCTTAGAAGAGTTCACCATCCAAACACAGTCACTTCAAAGACTCCGCAACCTCCGCTTCCTCGACCCCAAAATGCGCATCCTCCCCTCTCCGAAATCACAAGTGCGACCTCCTCGTTCGAGTAGTGCGAACGGACGGTTGACCCTGCATGACTCCTTATGGGGGGAGGGGCACAATTTATTGCTACCCAACTCTATGTCTGCTTGCTGTAGTCGGCTCACGTGGTGTATGTAGTAGCAAGGGGGTACCCGCTTTACATCATTACGGTCGGGGCGTTCATGTTTTGTTTGGACTGAATCGTCTACACCAATTTCAGGCCATTCACGAACCGAGATCGATGAACTTGTACAAACCTTGAGGATAATTTGTACGGCAGGCTCCCAGCAATCTGTAAATAGACGAGACCGCATTCAAGTGGCGCACCTACCAAAACTCTTGATTTCATGATTTCGGGATCAAATCCAGCCTCCAAGGCCATCTTGTTACTTTTCACTGTTTATTTGTTCTTTGTCTACTTGCGGTCAAATTCGACCGCGATGACGTGTGCATTGACTAGTAATAATATATAACCCTGGACCATTAATTGGCCATATATGTATATAATGGAAAGACATAGCAATTCCAGGACAATGCCAAATGCGTGGCGCACATGAAATAACTTTGAATGGCGCGAAATACCTCGTTCTCTATATTTTGAGGTGCTTTCAGGTGCTATCTATCCGAGCTCAGCCGACTTTCTTCCTGAAGAAAACTACACGGCTACTCTTGAGGTGGTCATCAAATCTCTATTCCTTGGCATTACTCAACTAAATATTACCATCGGTGATGAGTTAGTTTTATTGTGTATTTATATATTACAATAAATTTGTAGAGTGGAAGTAGCTACATACATACACGTTGCGTTACGAACCCCAGTAGCAGGCCCCTCGTTTTCTCCTCCGTCTCACTTCGGAAGACCCCTTCCCTCACTTTGGAAGACCCCTCCTCCTCACTTCGGAAGGCCACTTCTTCTCACTTAGAAGGGATTGCGCTTTTGGTACCTGGCTTAGGCTCGTTGTCTTTAATTGCGACTTTTGCAGCATAAAGGCGGACTCAAAACTGTTTACATCCAATGAAATGGGTCGTAAGGCGGTAATGACCGCCATTCGCCCATCTTTAGATATTTACCGTCTTGTCCGCTAGAAACTCTAACAGCCTATTCGGAGCTAAAAACAGAATACTATTGCAGGTGGGCGGGGAGAAGGAATTAGAGTGGGCAAAGTGCTTTGATTGGTAAATCGACGTTTTACTGTCATATATTACTTGGCATTGGACAAAGATTCAAGGAGGCACTTACGTTAATTCATGGAATTTGTAACCATTTCAGGGTTCTGCCGCCTTTCCCACTTCGCCTTCTTCGGTCGGATCGTGAAGCTAAAGTGACACTGTATTTCAACATATTCCTCGGCATATTCATATTCATCATTTCTACGATGATGGGAACTCAACTCGAAGTGAGTCCCTTTTCCTTAAGTTCATACAATAGCTGTCAGGAGTGTTCATCGGAATATATCTTCCTTCCTGCCCGCATGGATGTCGGCGTTATTTGTAGCAAAACTTCCGGCCGCAGAGCGACGCTCGAACCCGCCATGGGGTAGATGTTACCATAAAAAAGCCGTGGAGTTGAGCGCAAGTGCGTGCCCCGGCAAGTAACCTGTAACGTACCTGCCCGGTTAGGAAGGGGTGCGGGTTTGAGTCCCGCCTTGAACAGAAGTTCTTTCATAACCAAGCGTTCTTGTGAGACTTTCACAAGGCCAACTGTGGTCAAAAACAGCAGTCGACAATAAAACGAAGTTTCTTCGTGCGTTATTTTTCTCACTTATACGACCGCCTTCGAATATTGATATTTTATGTATAGCGGTTCACATTTTTTAAATCGCGAATCCTAAAAACATCCAAAAGAAAGAATCGCCGGGTAATTGTCTTTAAAGGGAAAAATAATGAACGAAAAGCGGTTTTTGTGGACCCTTTCACCGCCATTGCAAAACACTGTAGCTTTTACAAGTAGACTGCACACGAACAATCGCAGTAAAACTTCAAAATAGTTAATCGAAAATCCGCATAATAATGATGTAAAATAATGGATTTTAAATATGGAGCAATATACTTTCAGCTAAAGCGGATTTTCGGTATCGCTCGTAAGCCAGTTGGTCCCTCGATTGGATTTTGCTGTCAATTTGTGCTGATGCCAACGGTGAGGCTCATATTCTTACTTCCAGGAATCACACCTTTAGTTGGTGTTGTAGCCAGTCACATTCCGAGATGGCCAAATTTGACTGTTATTCCTCGCAGCCAATTCAGCTAGCAATAACAGCCTGAAAACAGTGTCCTTTGGAAAATTCTACAAGCTTCACGACCAAGAGTAGCCTTCCGCGTATAAAGGTGGAGAATAGGCAAAAACGTCCCCTATGGCCGCACATCATCAAACTTTTCGTCGCACAGGGTGCCGCTGTTAATGGGAGTTTTACGGCAAATATTCCTTAGATGTCCCCCCATAAGCAGAAGCAGGCCCTCCTTCACTGCCTTCACCGTCCAGAATATGACGTCATCTGCCATCACCGTCGAGCTCAAGGAGGCTTACCGTAATCGCTCCATTCTGAAGCTGCTACATAATTTCTTCAATCAAGTGATAAATCATTTCCTAGAGGCAATACCCCTGACTATACGAGATCCTTACCGACCGGCGCTTTCGATAACGCGGTAATGGTCTACGATCTGTCCAAGGCCTTGCTGTTTGAAAGCTTGAACTTTGCACCATGTTCCTGTGGGAAAATCCTCTGATGTCGTCTGTACAGAAGGCTACAGTGAAGTGTACTGATAGAGTGGAATGGGCTCTTCAGATCTCAGTTGGGTGTATTCGGTTTGAATTCAGCAGAATGTAGCTACCCCGTTTTACACGTGGAAGGGGAATGACTTTTTGCTACCCCCTCTCCCATATAAGGCTGGACTCAGCTATGTGGTATAGTGAGTGATGCATGAAAGATCAATGAGCATATTCAGATCGGATTCCTGTTGGCTGAGTTCGGTCTGCCAGAAGACGCCACTTCGCTGAAAA